TTGGAACACACCAGGCAAGCCGGTGCGAGCATGCGTTTTTGCTCAGCTTTTTACGCAGGTTTCACTCAAAAGCGAATGAATTTTGCAGCTAGCGACCACCCTCATCCTTTATCAACATCTAGTTCCACTTCTTCACTGAGAAGTGAAAATGTTGCTAAAGCGATCGTTCGTCAAAAAATTCAAACATGTAAATGAACTAGACGTTGGGAGAGGATGAAGGCTGTCGTTTGCTGCAAAATACACTCGTTTCTGAGTTTGTGGTAAAGTTGAGTGTTTCAAAATACCCGCCGGCAGGGGACTTCACCTCCAAGCAGAATTAGGAATGCAATTAAAAGTAGAAAATCCCAGCGAATTTTCAGCCTTGACCATTATTCGATAAACGAAATAGCCACTTCGCTACAAGTATCTTTGAAGTGCCCCAATTAGTGTGGCAAGTGCAAATCGGAAAATTTAGGTATACGATTTTCCATATGAATGATAAATATTCTGACAGAATTTCAACCACTGTTTTCCGGCTAGTTTCCGAGTTAGTGTAGTTCTATATGCAAACTTTGGCGTGACCGTACGTGCTGCACAAGCTTGCGCAATGGCTGAATTTGAAATCTTTAGCCCCTAGAAGTACATAGAATATCCCTGTAAAGTTTCAGCTTTCTATCTTGCCTGGTCCCCAAAACTGTTTCCCGATAAAAGAATTTGCATAATTTTTTCGGGGGGTCCGCACGAGAAGTCTTAGCGCACACAAGTGAAAATTTTAAAAAAATTCCACCAGCTAGAAGCCTCTTGTGCATACTGGTCCTCGAATTTCGGGAAGTTAATTATCCACGCTATGCTTGGATAGGGACCATTTCCTTGAAATCTCAGGTTCCCAGCTTTCTCAGTTCCCGAGTTACCCAAATTCCAACCAGAAAATTTCACAGGACCGCATGTACAACCACGCGTATTGGGGAGCTAAATTTGATAAATCCAAGTTGTAGATGAGTTGGAAACATTTCCAGAAAGTTTCAGCCCCCCAGCTTCCCTGGTTCCGGAGTTAGCCACTTTTTCGTCAAAAATTTTCACGAAGCCGTACGTGGCAACCACGCACAGTGGGGGGGGGGGGCTGAATTTGATAAACTGAAGTTGTAGATGAGTTGGGAGCATTTTCTGAAACTTTCAGTCTCCTAGCTTCGCTGGTTCCGGAGTTAGTTATTTTCCCGCCACAAATTTTCACGGGGCTGTACGCGGAAATCACGCATAACGAGGGGCTGAATTTGATAGATTCAAGTTGTAGATGAGTTGGGAACATTTCCTGAAAGTTTCAGGCTCCCAGCTTTCTTGGTTCTTGAGCTGACGCTTTTCGCGTCAGGAACCCTCACGGGACCGTACGCGGGAACTACGAACCCCCGGGGGCTGAATTTGAAATCTCTGAGTTCTATTTGGACTGGAAACATAAACCCAGGATTTCAGCTTTCTAGCTTTTCTGGTTCTCGAGTTAGCGATTTTTCCACCACAACTTTGAGGCGCTCGCACGCGGGGCCTAGACGTGTTTGAGGGTTGGTACCGCGGTCCTGGGATGGCGCTTGGCCGAGGAACTCACTTCCAAAATTTTGGCGCCGGAGCTTGCTTGGGTGCCGAGTTGGAATGCCCGGACAGACACACATACACACACACACGCACACACACACACACCGGGTCGTCACAATATGTGTTTTTGCATACTACGCAAAAACGCATAACAAGAGAATGACACACGGGGCAAGAACATATGCCAAAAATTTCAGCCTTCCAGCCTTGCTGGTTGCTGAGTTGAAAATGGGTAACAAAGTTCACTTGCTTTCGAGTACTCTTTTTGCACGTTGTAGCAGTGTAGTGCTACACAGCAAAAACGCATAAAAAGGGCAGAAAATGAAAAATTTTTTTCTGATAGAGACTGCAGGTGAAATTCGGACTGACTCTAAAAACATGGGAAGATGCAAATTTTCACGCTCGATGTTGTAAAAAATGTTAGTACTAAATGCTGTGAGAAGGGAAGAAACGAGCTGTGTTTAAAGCTCGTGTCTAGTGGGTGACAGCATTGCTGAATGAGCAGAGTAGTGCAGCAGACTGAGCTGGACGCTGAAACCATGTGGCTGGGAACGAGTAAAATTTGATTGAAGAAGGGAGTGCAGAATTTTCTTGAAAATGTATTGAGGCGGCGCAAGGCATTCCATTATGTAGTTTGAGTCATTCAAAGTTGAAGACTTTTTATGCGTTCTTGCATATATGCAAAAACACATATTGGCAAAAGACTGTACGTGTATGTTCTTCCGCGTGTTCACATTTTTTGTCATCCACTTTCATCTCGAGAAATAGAAAAGCTAGAAAGTTGAAAATTTGGGAGTTCGTGGCTACTACCTGTGCAACCCTCTCGTTTTAATGTCATCACCCGCATACACCTGGATGTCGTGTACGGATGTCTTAAAGAAATGTACAAATTTTTTGACGAGAAAGCGATCTCGGAAACCAGAAAGGACGGAGGGCTAAAACTTTGCAAGGGTATTCTCTGTGCTGTGTAACCTGAAGTTAAATTCAACCCCTAAGTGTGAGTGGTTCTCACGTATGGGCACGTGAAAGTTTCGTCGGGAAAATTGCTAACTCGGCAACCACAAATGCTGGAAGGCTGAAATTAAAAGATCGTTCACGTACAACTTATAGATTTCAAATTCAACTCCCCGAGACGAGTGGTAGCCGCATAGGACGCGCGGAACTTTCGGCGGGAAAATTATTAACTCGTGAACCAGGAAAGCTAGAAAGCAGAAATCTTAAAGGGGTGTTCCGTTTCCATGTACAGCTCAAATATTCAAATTCAGCTTCCAGGTATGTTTAGTTCTCATGTACGAGCACTTAAAACTTTTGGCGAGAAACTGCTCATTGAATAGCTAAGTCATTTTCAAAGCACTGCAGTTTAACGAAAACTGTTCATTTCCTTTATGCAAATTTTATGATTTACGCTAGTGAGCGCAAAAGGTGGGTGTAAGGCAACAACCATTCATGTATTAACTGCCTGAATACTTTAATTCTGGTGCAAAAATACATGATCGCACCGCCAAGCTTGGTGCACTCCTGTCTAGATTTATTATGCAGACTTTACACACATCTTCTGCAGAACTTGTGAATTTATCCACTGCAAATTTGCTGTTGACAACACTCAAGCTTTCCAGGTGCTTTCCCGTACACAAAGGTACTGCAGATGTGTCAAACCCAGACGTGTCCAGCTCACTTCTGTGCATTTAAAAGGGACTAATACTACTTTAAGTAGTAGTTCAATATACTGTATATGTGAAATTGGTATCTCTAGTATCCAGTACCACCGGCTGGAGCATACTAGGCTTGTCGGTGCGCTCATCCGTTTTTGCGCTAGGCTTGCAGCAGCCAGATCTTTAAAAGCATACCTGCGCTGTAGTTTAAAAAATGCACGTATGTTGGTTGTCTTTCACTGTCTTCTCGCATACGGGTTGGGATGCTAATATTGAATCATGGAGTCGCGTGAACCTACAGCGTGCATGATTAGCAATTTTTTTCATAAACTCGCTTTACAAAATATTCCTGCAAACTTTCAACTTTCTATATTGTTTGGTTCACGAAATCGTCTCCCACCAAAAAAATCTGTGTATCTTTTTCAGGAGTCCATACGCGAAATTTAGGCGCATGTGAGCAGTGATTTTAAAATGGAAGGGTGATACACTGAGTGGGAATATGCCCCAAGATTTAGGCTCATAGTTTTTCTAGTTGCAAGGGCTAAAATAGGTGACAAAGTTCACTTCATTCCGAACACACACATACACACGGATGATCTCTAGACAATAAGCGTTTTTGCTACAGCCAGCAAAAACCCACATTGTCGAGAAGTTGACTATGTGTATGTTCGGAAGTGAGTGGATTTTGTCACTCACTTTCATTCCAGCAACCAAGAAACCTGGGAGGCTGAAATTTTGGGTATACAGTCCTACGCCGTATGTCACCCTCCCGTACTGAGATCTTTCGCCACATTGGCCTAGATCACGCGTCCGGACCCCCGAAAAAAATGTGTAGATTTCTTTGGTAACAAACGATTTCGCAAATCAGGCAAGACACAAAACTGAAACTTTCAGGAATATTCTCTGTGCATGTGCGAGCTAAGGATTTCAAATTCAGCTGTGATGCACGCTTGTGAAGCGTGTACGATCACATCAAAGTTAGTTTGCAAGTTGGTACTATGCTAACTCGAAAACTTGCTGGAAAGCAGTGGCTGAAATTTTATCGAAATGTTTATTCCCATATAGAAAATAGTATATCTAAAATGAGCGCCTATTTGCACTTGCCACACAAATTAGGGCACTTCAAAGATATTTGTAGCGAAGTGGCTATTTCGCTTACCGGATGAACTGCGAAGCTGAAAATTCGCTGCGGTGTCCTACTTTCAAAGGCGGCCTTAATTCTGCTTATCAGTGAAATTTCCTGCAGCTGGTTACGAGAAATGCTCAACTTTACTGAAAAATCAGAAAAGAGTGCGTTTTGTAGCGGACGACCGCCCTCTTCCAAATATGTAAATGAAACACTCAGTTAATTTGCATACTTGGATTTTTTGACGAACGACTGCTCCAGCAACATTGTCATTTTTTAGTGAACTTGAAATTTGTATTTTTCATTTTTTCAAAAAACGAGAATTTACAGAAAAGACGACCGGGCTTCATGCCAAAAACTGGTAATCAAGTATCTGGAGGTCCTTGCGGCTCTAAAGTGCACCACATTCATCCCATCCGACGCATTTTCTCCTGCGTACGGGAACGGCAAAAGCACGGTCAATATGAACCCGTGTTAGGGCAAATTAGTGGCCTGCCAGTTTAGTGCAAAAACGTATGATCGCACCGGCAAACCTGGTGCATTCCAGCATGGGTTGTTCATTGCAGCAGTGCCGCACAGCAAAAACGCATAATAAAACATTTAGAAATGTTCCTGAACCATTTCATTTTCAGTGTTACGCAAATGGAATTTGTGGCGGTATGGCCTATTGCCAGCCAATGATGATGGCACAGCCAGTGATGTGCAATTGTGCCCCATCTTATGGCTGTGGGCAATACGGTTGCTACAGACTGCGAGCTCGAGCATCCAAGAACTACAGGCCATCATTTGGAAGTCGCCGAGAATCGTTCCACGTACGGCAATCACCATTCGAGCAGCAGTCTGAAGAAATTTCAGCGTTTGGTGCTCCGGAAGAATTCAGGTCGGAAATTCCCTTTTCCAGAAGTGAAATTGGTTTTGAAAAGTGCAAGAACGGCACTGACACTTTTATTTGCAGTTCTAAATCAGTAATGATTTGAATTCCCACAAATTTCTTAGTGCGGACAGCAAATGCCAGGATACTAGCGCTGTTATGCGTTTCAGTCATTAATTGTTTTGGCGTACACGACGCGAGTGCATCAGTGCATGCAGCTCTTGGCTACACTGCTCTGCAAATTAATCCGCCTGGCAGTTGTAACCCATTAAAATCATGCGTCGGTTGCCCTTTCCGTTCCACCCTGAAGCAACTGTTTATGTTCGGGATGACTTCCAAAAACAACCAATTTCTGCATTTACTTCACAATCTATGAGTCGCGAAACAAGTGCAGAATTTGATTTTAGAATAGTTGACATGCATAGTTGGTGCGAAGTAAAATCACTACCGACTCGCGGCAGGCAAAACCGTGCGATCATGCGTTTTTGCGTATTTCGTGCTACAGTAAGATAGCTTGGAATCTCAGCAGCTAGAATTCTTGACATACTGGTCCTCAGAGTTCAGGAAGTTAATTGCACAACTATGTGGTACTTGGACAGGGAACATCCCGTTAAAATTCCAGCTGACTCTTCTGGTTCCTGAATTAGCAATTTTCCTGTCAAAATTTTCACAGGCCCGTGCGTGAAAACCACGCACAACTAGGGGGCTGAATTTGAAATCTTCAAGTTCTACATGGACGGGGAACATTCCCTTCAAATTTAAGCTTTCTAGCTTCTCTGGTTCCCGAGTTAGCGATTTCTTCGCCAAGATTTTCATGTGTTCGTATGCGGAGCGCAGGAGTGCATAAAAGTTGGTGCCGCGATCTTGAGGTGGCACTTGGTCGGGGAGCCCACTGATAAATTTTATCGTCGAAGCTTGCTTGGTTGCCGAGTTGAAATACCCGAACAGACACACATACATACATACACACACTAACATACACACACGCATGTGATGGATCGTCACAATATGCGGTTTTATATTTGCATGTATACAAAAACACATAATGAAATTCTGGCAGACAAATTAAAATTATCCATTCACAAAGGCTTACTGTTGAAGTACGGTCGTGCAAGCTCACATAAAGGCGCTCATATCACTAAAATCATTGTAAGATTGGGTTTTGAAGTTCTGCTGTATTCAGCTTCTAATCCAGTTCTTACTCCCTTCGATAGCTGCCTCTTTAGATCGATTAAAAATACTTTACAAAGTTGTTTTGCTGAAGATGAAGTGCAGTAAGCAATTCATGAATTTCTGTGCGACCAGCTGAAAATTTTTTTTTTTTATCGGAAATGTTAGTAAGCTCATGAACTGCTGAAAGAAATGCATCGAAGAGCAAGGAGGCTGTATAGAAAGATATTTAGTTTAACCCGTACTTTCATTTAATAATTTACAAGCACAGAGAGCGAATAATCGCCGAATTGTTCTTGTCTAAGTGCAGAATGAAGGAAGCCAAGAATCGGCAATTTCCTTACTCACTGCGGGCTGCACCCACAAAAAAAATCAACATATGACAGTTTTTATGCACTGGCGCATTTACCCACCAGGCGCTTGCGTCTTTTTATTGCAAAAATACTCAACAGTGTTAACAGGCTAGTACACCCAACTCTTTGTGTTGCTCACTAAAAATTTTTTCAGGGGACAGAATCGGCTGCCCAGCGGCAGAAGTGCGCCGATGGCAGAACTGGATGAGCGATGGCAGAAAGCGCTTGCAATGGCCTCGCCAACAGCAGCCGAACTTCCAGAAAAAGCACATGCTTATCGGGTATGCCTCATTTTGTTGGTATACCCAAGCCTCAATGCCTGCATATTCATTTGACTCTTGAAGCAAATTATTACGCAGTCTATGCCACGGGATTATCGGCTCAGCTTTCGACATGGAATTCGAAATTTTAGACCATTCCTGGTCAAATCACAAACAGTGAATGAGGAAATAAAATCTCAAAGTTAACAGGTTAAGACAGCATTTAACCTAAATTGAGAATTTGTCAATTCTCACTGATGGACTGATAGTCACTTGAGAAGCCTTCAAAAGCAGGGCGGGCATGAGCTGCTCGTTATGCGGCATTGCACCACTTTTGTATGTTGGCTATGTAAAAGCGAAGAGTTAGTTTTTGAAGCATTCCTTCAAGGTTAAATTTCTGTAATTTTTAATGCAAGCAACAGGTGCGTTTAGCCTGACAGCTATACTTGGTCTGTAGTTGCCTCTCAAATCCGAACAAGTCCAGTGGTTAAAAAAATTGCCTCGTTTAGATTTTCATCAAAACAGAAACGATTTTGATGAAAATAAATAACAGCACCATTTGTATAAATTACAGGCTCGGATGTACATGAGGATAATCTACTTCCACGAGGATAATTCCACAGTTTCAAAATCGCGTCGAAAATTGTCAACTATTTAGCGTATATTTCAAAACAGCAAATGATTATAATGTTTTGATGTTTATCATAAAAATGTATTAAATTCAAATGCTTCGTCGCGTTACGAGGGAAAAATTTTAAACAAGAACGTTTGATCGCTGGCTTAACTAGAATTCTTTCGAAGGTTTTGAAAAATTTCAGTGACAAAAAAAGCAGTTTCGACAACTATTCAAAAGCCACTCTCTTCACGTGCAGTACTTTTTATATTAGACTATCAGCTATACGTAGAAGTACAAAAACTTTACAGTTTTATAGCTCTACTCACTTTTCCGCAAAAAATATATTCCTGTAAAAAATCAAAAATATTTCCTTGCACACTTGCCTTCCTTCACTTCTTCTCTACGACCGATCTTAATAGACTTGTCTGACATATACTGAAAGTCAAAATAGAATGCTGGTCTTTTAGACCAGGTCCTAATTTATTTGATGCTTGCAGGATCCAAACGAGGCATTTCTGGAGTGCTGCATGGACCGACAGCTGCCGGATGCTTGTCTCAGCAAGTGTAATTTTAATTACTACAACAGGCAAACTGTAAGAAATTGCTTTTACTTTCTAAATACCATCAAGTTACGCAAAGAACTCTTAGCTTTACTGCTAATGTAGTTTTAGCGCACTAAAGAGGATTCTGTTTTGCGAGCAGTGACTACCCAAACTGCGACGACTTTTCGTTGCGTTTACGTCCATTCTGTTGTGTTTTTGCTCACGCGTTGCGGCAAGGTCATGTGTTTGCGTGTACAATTTGTCTGTCATGTACATACGTGTGTATCTGACTCTCTGTTTGTCCGACCACGCATTCCAGCTCTGAAACCAAAGCTACTAAGCTAGAAATTTATGAACAAGGTCTCTAAATGTGCACGAGGCCCTGAACTTAAAATCAACTTTCAAGTAGCTTTGTGCTCTGGGCGCTGGCCTCAAATTCGAAATGGGGCAGGCCTGTAATTCCGTTACAATTTTAAAATTTTGGCTTGCACAAGACCAAAATCACAAAATATTCGATTTTTAGGTCATTCTGCATTTTAGATTCATCTTTAAATTCATTCTGATTTCATGAATCGATAACCAAAAACAGTAGAAGCTTGAAATTTTGAGCACAATCTCTCTCATTGTGCTCGGAGTCAAAATCACTCCACACTGTTTACCTGAGCTAATCTGCGACTTTTGGTCCAAATTCATGCTAAATCTTAAAACCCAGGCAGGAACGCACCGGGCGGGCCCGCGCGATCATGCGTTTTTGCACCGGACTTGAATTACTCAGGTCATT